TCCAACTGCATGAGAAAATATATAAGAATATAAGTTAGAAAAATGTCAAACGTTAATTGATGGATACACATGGAAATTCTGCCATTGTGATGCCAGTTAATTCATGTTCATTGCCAAATGGCATAGTAGTATATGCATCTAACGTCGACAAAAGTATATGGATGCAATAAAATTTGAAAAATTAGTCATGTACCACAACCAAACAGAAGCATCCAACCGAGCCATAATTAAAAAAATCGGACTTACTAGCACCTGGACGTTCGATCCGGGGCGCTAGCATTGGACGGTGCTCCCGCACCCGCACTTGACGCAACTATCCCGTTCGAGGGCCATGTGGTCCCAATCATGTGCGAGACCACCTTGAGCCCACTCCGTTTCACGTGCTATCATGCACGCAGCAGCAGCAGCAGCACCAGCAGGCGCGCACGGTGACCTACGGCGGCGCACTAGCAGCAATGGCATGTGCTTCCCCGAGATCTACTTTTGAAACATCCAAATGAAACACTTGCAACATACGTCTGAAACAGTTGAAACACTTGAAACATGCGTGTATAGCCATAGCAACATGTGCAACACCAGATTTACTTTTGAAACATCCAGATGCAACACTTGCAATATATAAAAGAAGACATATGAAACACTTACAAAAAACACATGAAACCCATTGCAAAACATACGTAACATCCAGATAAAACACTTTCAACATATGTGTGAGACATATGCAATATCCAGATAAACACACTTGCAACATACATCTAAAAAATATATAAAACATTGGGAATAGATGCTTGCAACATACGTGTACAAACCATTGCAATAAATGCAACATCCCGATCTACTTTTGCAACATCCGTATAAACACTTGCAACATACCCCTGAAACATTTAAAATGTACGCTTGCAACAAGTGCTTTCAGCGCAACATCTCTTTGTTGCTTGGAAGAGCTCATCAGCATGTGAAGTTCATCAGTGTAGAGCTCATTGGAGGCGCAGAGCGACCGGCCAGAGGGTGCGACAGCCGTCGAGCGCGGTGGCCCGAGTGGAGCTGCCCTCCGTTTCTTCGAGCCCGGCGAGGGAGCTTTGCATCGTCCGCGGACCGGCCATGGGACACCGCAACCTTGGAGTGGACCGGGCAGGGGGCAGTTGTGGATCGGCCAAGGGGTGCAATGGGGCGACGGCCGGAGCGCGTAGCTGCCCTTCGTTTCTTCGAGCCTGGCGATGGAGCTTCGCGTCGTCGTCGGACCAGCCAAGGGACACCGCAACCTTGGCGCGGACCGGGCAGGGGGCAATTGCGGATCTGTCAGGGGGGCATGATGGGATGGCGGCTAGCCTCGGGGCACCGCAGATTACGGACTCTGGGGGCGCTAGCGAGGCCGGCGGCCAACGGAGGAACCCCACGGTTGTGGCGCTGTGGGAGCGCGGTTGCGGTGGAGCATGATTGCGGTGCTACAATGGAGAGCCTTCTAGAGAATGGAGCAGCAGGATAAGGTTAGAGGCAAGTGGACAAGAGGATACGCCAGATGGGCCGTTGGGCTAGTGTCGCGGCCCGCGAACGTGACCGTCCGGACGATTGGACGCCCTGTCCAGAGCATTACCGATATTATTAGGGTAAGATTTGTGTAAATTCTATTTTTATTGTTTTTCTATTTGAATTAGGATTTCTATTCAGATTGCCCATCTATTTGATCAGAATTGCTAGCTATACACGTTACCTTAAACCTATGTCAAAGCCGTGCCATGTCTATATTCATGGAATTAGTTAAGGGAGGTGGTATGGTGGAGCTAGAAATAGAATGAAATTTTGGCTCTTTAATACGTATATATTGGATAACTAGATAAATGCCCATGCGTTGCAACGAGAAAAATATAATACCATGGTAATATAAGTATGGATATGTGTAGTACTGTAACCCAAAACGATGTTTCAAGCGTGATGTACCGATACGATCACTTTCCATGTGGTGTTACCGACACAATTACTTTCCATGTGTGTCACCAATGTGGCATGATATTGAGTAAGCTAAACCAAACCAACTATATGGAATAACACACATGTTCAGTCACGGCGGCATGTATGGCGTGACACAACTACTTGTACGTTCATACTCAGATGAGTTTTGTTCCTTTTTTTTTGTCGATCCAAGACAAATGTTCCATGGCTCTTAATCTTTTAAAAAAACTTCAAACTTATATTTTGCTTAGCATCACAGCTCTTGTAGTTTTAACATTATATTTTTTCTGTAATGCTATATTTGAGTTTCTAGTTAAGCTGTTTAGGCCCAAAATAGTCTCAAAGTCATCTAAATTCGTGGTTGAGAACAACTAATTTCCTAGCATATGTTCTTAAGTGAAATCCAAAGTTTGTTAGAAAGCACATGTTGAAAATTAAGTTCAATGCCAAGACCAATCTAAAAGCAATTGGGAGCAAGCAGTAAACATTTGGCAACATTTTTGCTAAAATTTTAGAAATGTACTCCAAAATAATAAATAGCAAGTCAGTGAGTCAACGTCACCTACATTACAGAACATAATATGACGCTAGGAGTTTACAATGGTGATATTTGGATTGTCATACCGCAGGCGAGATGGACGAGCCCCAACCGGATTTGGCCAGCCAGCCTCGCCATTGATTGCAGCTCCACCTCGCCAAAACTCTTTCGTGCTGAGCGGCGGCACCGCGAGTCAGGCAAAAATGGAGGCATAAAGAAATGGAATACTATAGTGAACGTCCAAACAGAAATTGTGCCTGGAAGCAGTGGCCCTATTCGCTTTGCTGAAAAGCCATGACTGAAAATACTGTTCGCTGATTTGTTGTGAGAGAAAACACTGCTCGTTCGCTGAAATAGTACGGCTCTTAAGACAAGCGCACAAGGCCAATAGCTTTGATACACAATGACCTTCTTGGAGTCGCAGAAGCTCTGAATTTTCCCGAACTCACCTGATGGATTTTCTATGAATTTCTGACCATTCAGATACACCTAAAATCAACTGAACCAAAAAAAAAAAAACGAGAGCGAGAGGTATTACAACTCTCAAAGATGAAACATTATACACCTAAAATAGAATTCTGGACAGTACTTGTTGAGTCCGTGCCAGATCATGAACAATAGGGCGTTGTCGGTCATGAATAGTGGGGAGGGAGGCAAAACCTGGATTGCCCCTAGGGCGGTCTCCAGCAGTGCCGCAGCCCGATGAAACCTCCAGGAGCAAACTGTCAAAGTCGACTGAAAACAAAAAGACGAAACAATAAGAAAAGAGTCAACTTCAGATTATACTTGCCACTCAAATAGAAGTTTGGAGAGCTCTGCTAAGGTCTGACTGAAACAAATGGCTTTACCAAGAACTATGAAAGGCTAAAACAGAATTATGATGACCGATTCAAACACCAACTGCTTATTGTTCTAGAAACCATCGCATTCTGCTTGTTATAGATAGCAGTTTGGGGGTAGGAATCTCACGCTCGGCACATGGCGAGGTTGTGTTGTTAAGATGCAACCAGCAAACATTAAAACCCCACCCTTCTAACTGTATTTGTATATGTTCTGTCATCCAAAAATCTCAACACTAGTATAAATCCTGGGATCAGAGCATGATGGTGGCAGTGTGGAGGTGTGTGGCAGACTGACCAGAACTTAAACTTGAAAACAATATTTTTGTAAAACAAAATTGAGGTGTAACTGAATGACGAAACTTGCCTGCCTTTAATCGGATGACGACTAGAGGGATGTCGACGATGCTCACAAGGGCGGTGGCGACCAGAGGGATCCAGGAGCCGTAAGGAAAGATGCATGGGCAAGGGAGGGAAGGAAGATGTTTCGCTTCTGCGTGATCGAGGGGATAGAAAGGACATCAACGATCAGCGTTTCTATTTTTGCCCGAGTAACGTGACGTCCGCGCTGCCTGCTGCGATCGTGCTCTGCGCAGGGTGTTCCTGATTTTGAACATGCGCGATTGCGCTCAAGATTGGCTCCCAAAACACAAAGCATGCAGGGAGAAAAAGAGAGGAAAGTCTGCAATGCACATGCGGATGTGTGGGAGAGAAGTTTGTGCCATCACGATAGTTTGCCATACGTGCTGTGCCATAACTTCCTTTTTTGTTGCCGGGCTGTCAGGTGAGAGAGGATATATAGCTTGCGATGCATGCATGCGGAACTCCCGTTTTTGCTGCCGGGCCGCGAGGTTGAGAGATCGATCGATCCTGCTGATCGCCAGGGGGAGATTGGGAAAGGGTCGCGCCTTCCTTTGGACTCCTGTTGATTTAGCGCTTGCCTTCCATGCACGGGTGGGAATTTTCTTTTCTGAGCCGGGTAGTCATGGATGGTGTGTTTTAGTGCTACCGTTTAGACGTTGATAATCCGTAATGTTTTAGTTGTAGATAGATAAAGATTTAGATAGATTTTATTTAAGTTGATAGCTAACTGGCCGTGATAGACCGATGCTGTATCCCGTACCCGTCGTCTACAGCCCATACTTGCCCTGCTCGCCACGTAAACTCTCACTCGCGCTGTCGCTACTCCGCAGAGCGAAAGGGACAAGTGTCTGCCCTGTTGGCCACTTGGTTGGACAAATTTTACACTAGGCCATCACGTCAAAAATATCTCCAACGCACTGATTCTACTACATCCACTCATCCAGATTATGGAGTAGTACGTCTCTCTATGCTCCAAAAACCGATAAAAGTTGTTGCCCAGAAAAGAAAATCTTGGCACTAAACAAGGACCACGTAAAATGCCGTCTGTCAATTAGTGCCGACATTTCATTCATAGCTTTTTTGTTTTCTAACGGCAGATATTATGATTTATGTCTCTCCACCATCAGGTCCAACCAGAAAAGTAGCTTTCGATCGTTGTAGTGCCCAGCTCTTCCTCTAATCCTCTTTCGCCTATAAAGCTAGCTAGCTAGCTAGTGGGCGTCCTCACTACCTGCGCCAGCCACTGACTCACCGCAGCTCTGCTCAAGTGAAAAAGATCTGAGGAAACAAGCAAAGAAGGTATCGATCCAATGGCAGAGGGCAACAGTTCCGGCGACCTTTTCTCCAGCGGCAAGCTGGTGGCGGAGGCCGCCGCGTCGGTGTTCCAGCAGAAGAGCGCGGAGAACGTCGACAAGAAGGAGGTCGCCGGCGCGGCGGCCGAGATCCTGCACGCGGCGTCCACGTACGGCAAGTTCGAGGACAAGCCGGCCGGGCAGTACATCGAGAAGGCCGAGGGATACCTGAAGGAGTTCAGCACGGGACACGCCGCCGGCGCCGCGGCGCCGCCGAAGCCAGCGGAGCCGGCGCCCAAGGAGAAGGAGCCGGCGGTGCCTGCGCCGGCCGCGGAGGAAGGCGGCAAGTCGTCGTCGGAGGGGTTTGGCCTCGGCGACGTCGTGAAGGGCGCTGAGCAGCTCGTGGAGAAGCAGGGCGGCGGAGAGGAAAGCGCCGGCGGTGGGCTGTTTAAGATGGCCCAGGGCTTCCTCAAGTAGATGGAACTGGATCAAAGCTCCATCCACGCACTGCGCTCTTGATTTGTGGCCAACGTGTAGCTGTGTGTGTGTCTGTTATGTAATTGACTTCAAATAATATTGCCTTCACTGTGTGTTCTTCAAGTTGTCTGTGTAATAAACCGAGAACGTTGTAGCACTGGTGGCAGTGTGCTTTCCGACCTGTCTTTTGATCATTTGATGATAATTGAAAAAAAAAAGACTGTATGTTGTATAAACATTCATAATGCTTTTAGTTTGTCAACTTTTTTCTCGTCATGCAAAGCACAGGTGATCATTTATCTTTGTTCACTGTCGTTTAGCACCGCTGTGGGTGAACCCGTAGAACATCGGAAAACAAAAAAATTTCTCTGCGACGGCGGCGCAGAGCTACTCGCGTGCGACAACCCGCCAGCGCGTGACACGCGCCCCGCTCGCCCCACCACGTCGTTCCGCGCCGCGCGCTGGCTTCGCTCGTTAGCCCAACGCCGTCCCTCCGGTACGAGTCGGCGCCCATCAAAGCGAGTTCCGTCGATGGACGTCTTCGGGGACGAGGAGCAGCAACTGCAATCGCTGCTCCAGAATCGCCCATCCCTCTGCTTGGCGCCTGCCCTCTTCTGCAGATAATCAGTGACTCGTTCACTCAGTTACCAGTTCTACGATTGGGAGTTGTATTGATCGTTCGTTGAAGATAGTGCGTGCTCACTGATCAGCTTGTGTTCGATGAAATTCCCAAGTGACTGCCCGTGGAGAGTTGACGCCTCCAGTTACGTTGGCATGTTTGACAGGATTTCCTGTCTACTGTACGAGTTTTTACATCACGTACGTAAGGAAGATGACCTCTATCATATTCATACTTGTTAGCATTTTCTGTCCTAAATGGTCTGGTGCTTTTTTTTCTGAACAGGATAAAAAAATGCACTTATGGATCCAGGCTTTAAGAGCAAACTGCATCACTGAATTCAAGTTCAGCAACCATCAGGCAGGTCGCCGATGGAGAGTATGAAAAGTGCAAGCTAGGAGGCATCTCTCGGGCCTCGTTCGCGTGTCTTATAATCCGTACTTTTTAGCTTGTTTTTTCAGTCGGGACAACCATCAGGCAGGTCGCCGATGAGGAAGATATTGAGAGCAATTCAGTTTGCCACATCCAAAAACAGAGCTTTCGGTCAGCACTGGGCTTGTGCTGTGTGTGTGAGCTGTTCTCAATATCTTCTTCTACCTCTAGATATAATGAGTGAGTGTGCTGGTAAGCTTACTGCTTACCTATGCAGGCCAACCGATGGACCAACCAGTGGTATCAGAGTCGTCCAAGCGCCGTCGCCAGACTAACCGTTGGCGATGACGGACGATTCGGAGATGGACGACAGTAGCGGCGCTGCTGTGGCTGTCTAGCCACGATAGGAGGTCGTCATGCGCACGATACGGGAGGTCAGCGGCACCAGTTGGTCAATGCTGACTCGCACCAACTATGGCAAGTGAAGGTCAAGCTCAGAGCCCGACGGCTCTGGAATACCATTGACAAGGGCACCGACAACGAAGACGACGATATGTTAGCGTTGCAGGCTATCATCGCTACTGTGCTAGTGGAGTACAGGAAGCCGTTGGGGATGAAGAACTCTGCTAAAGAGGCGTGGGAGGCCATTGCAGCGATGCGCGTCAGCTCCGACCGCGCAAAGAAGGCGACGACCCAGCTGCTGAAGCAGAAGTACGTCAACCTTAAGTTCAAAGATAGTGAGTCGGTGAAGGACTTCTCCCTCTGTCAACAGTCGCTTATCAGCAAGCTAAGGAGCCACGGCGTCACCATCGACGAAGAAGAGACGGTCTCCAAGTACCTCCACTCTGTGCCGGTGAAGTACATCCAGATCGCTATCTCCATAGAGACGATGCTGAACTTGTCCACCCTCACCATTGAGGATGTGACAGGTCGTCCGTGAGCGATGGACGAGCGCATGGAGAAGGCTACAGCAACGACGGACAGTGGCAAGCTGCTGCTGACAGAGGAGGAGTGGGCTGCCCAGATGAAGGAGAAGAAGTTTGAGGAAGCCTCCTCCAGCCGCGGTGGCGATGGCAAGCGCCGCAGCAAGGCCTCTTCAGAGAAGAAGAAAAGGTCGACCCCAACGTCTGTCGACGCTGTAGAAAGACGAGCCATTGGGCAAAGGAGTGCCCAAATCGCAAACAGGAGAAGAAGGCTTAGGCTCATTTAGCGCAAGCTGATAAGGATGATGAGGCCACTCTCCTGATGACAATGTTCTGTGCACTGCACGACATTGAGGCCAAGGAGAAGGGAGAGGTGATGGCAGTGGAAGGGCACGGCAAGGCTCTGAAGGTTGTCAACCTTGATGAATCGTGCGCCTAAGTCTACCTCGGACGTGTGGACGGGGAGCAGGAGCAGCGGTGGTACCTGAACTCTAGCGTCAGCAACCACATGATAGGCTCCAAGGAAGCCTTCTCTGAGCTCGACGGCAATACGACCGGCACGGTGAAGTTTGGTGACGGCTCAAGGGTGGCGATCTGAGGGCGCGGTACCATCATCTTCAGGTGCTAGAACAGTGAGCACCACACGCTGATGGATGTATATTACATCCCGCAACTGCGTTCAAGCATCATTAGCATTGGCCAGCTGGATGATCATGGCAGCGAGGTACTGATCAAGAACGACGTCCTTAGGATCAGGGACTGAAAGCAGCGACTTCTTGCCAAGGTGAAGAGGTCCGGGAACTGGCTGTACCTGCTCGACTTGAAGGTGGAGCAGCCCATCTACTTGGCTGCATGGCACACGGAGGAGCCATGGCTGTGGCATGCCTGGTATGGCCATCTCAGCTTCGATGCTCTTGGTCAGCTGGATAAAATGGTGACTAGGCTGCCTCATATCGAGCACACAGGCAAGCTGTGTGATAGTTGCTTGGTCGGGAAGCAAAGAAGGTTGTCGTTCCCAAAGATGGCGAAGTACCGCGTGGCAGAGGCCCTCGAGCTGGTCCATGGTGACGTCTGTGGGCCGATCACGTCGGCGACGCACGACGAGCGCAAGTACTTCATCTTGCTGGTGGATGACTGCAGCCATTTCATGTGGCTGTAGCTTTTGACCAGCAAGACCGAGGTAGCGGAAGAGGTCAAGAAGTTCAAGACACGTGTAGAAGCGGAGAGCGACAAGAAGCTGCGCGTGCTGCGGACTAATCATGGCGGCGAATTTACTTCGTTGGAGTTCGTTGCGTACTGCGCGGATCAGGGTGTGGTGCAACAACACACCGCGCCATACTCGCCACAGCAGAATGGCGTGGTGGAGCGGCAGAACCAGACGATGGTCGGCATAGCTCGATCCATGATGAAGGCCAAAAGCATGCCGACAAAGTTCTGGGGAGAGGCGGTGACCACGGCGGTGTTCATCCTCAACCGCACGCCCACCAAGGCCCTAAAGGGCAAGATGCCGTTCGAGGCATGGCATCGACGCAAGCCGAATGTGTCCTTCCTAAGGACATTTGGCTGCGTCGGCCATGTGAAGAACACCAAGCCTCACCTCGACAAGCTGGAAGACAGGAGCACGCCAATGGTGCTCCTGGGCTACAAGGAGGACGCCAAGGCGTACCGGCTCTACGACCCACGCGGAGGCAAGGTGGTTGTCTTGCACGATGTTTTGTTCGATGAGAAGGCAGCCTGGGATTGGGACAGTCTGGGCATGAGGGAAGCTGGCGGCTTCACAAGCACCTTCCTCGTCGAGCACTTGGTCATCCACGGTGGTGCAGACGCTGGAGAGGAGGTGTCGACCACTCTAGCAATAGAGCCGAGCACTCCTAGGGTGGTGTTGAGCACTCCAGGAGGGGTGCCGAGCACTCTAGAAGTGGTGCCGAGTGGTCCTGCAATGGTGCCAACCACTCCAGGACAGGTGCTGAACGCTCCTGTAGCGGAGCCGAGAGGTCTTGCAGTGGTGTCGACCACTCCAAGACTGGTGTTGAGCACTCCTATAGTGGTGCCAACCACTCTAGGAGTGGTGACGAGCGGTCCAGTAGTTGTGCCAAGCACTGCAGCCAGGGTGCCGAGCACTCTAGGTGCTGTGCCGACCACTCCAGTGGAATAAGGGACTCCATCGACGTCGATCGAGTTTGTGTCACCTCCAAGCGACATCACCGAGTTCATGGATGCCTTCCACAACAGTAAGGAGGTGTGGTTCTGTGGGTCAGACGACATCGTTGGTGGCATAGGGTCCTCAGGCCTAGTGGATCGGCTGCTCAATGACCCAGAGCTGCTTCTCGTTAGTGCAGAGGAACCACCCACATTCGCGCTGGCTAAGCATGATGCAAATTGGCGACGCACGATGCTAGAGGAGATGAAGGCGATCGAGGAAAACGAGACTTGGGAGCTCATCGATCCACCTCTAGGATGCCGTTCGATTGGCCTAAAGTGGGTGTACAAGGTCAAGCGGGACGAGCGCGGTGCCATTGTCCAGCACAAGGCATGCCTCGTCGCCCGAGGCTTTGTCCAGCACGAGGGCATTGACTTCGAGGAAGTCTTTGTGCCGGTAGCGCGCATGGAGTCTATCCGACTGCTGCTGGCTTTGTCGGCAGCGAAGGACTGGCGCGTCCATCACCTAGACATAAAATTGGCCTTCCTCAATGGTGAGCTGGCGGAGATGGTCCTTATGAGGCAACCTCCAAGTTTTGTCGTCAAGGGAGCGGAGCAAAGGGTGCTCCGACTACGCAAGGCGCTCTACGGGCTACGGCAGGCCCCGCGAGCGTGGAACGCCAAGCTTGACGTCACGCTGGACGAGCTTGGGTTCATGTGGTGTGCAACTGAGCACACGCTCTACACGCGGCGATGGGGGAAGGAGGAGCTCATCGTCGGTGTGTATGTGGATGACTTGATCATCACTGGCACGCATGTGGAGGACATCGATAGCTTCAAGCGCGAGATGGTGGCTCATTTTCGAATGAGCAATCTCGGCGTGCTCTCCTACTACCTTGACATCAAGGTGAGACAGGGGAAGGAGGCGCTCACGCTCGATCAGAGCA